ACTGGCACTTCCCAGGGAAGCGGATTCCAGTTTAGCAGAGCCCCATGCAAGGCCATGATTGGAGGGTAAAAATAATATAACGGCTAGGAGTTTTGCTCGTGAGACTGCAAGGCCATATATCACTCTTGCAGGCTACAGGCCGTTATTTTTTTGCTCTGTGAGCACCAGCACGTGGTAAAGCAGGCAAGTTTCCTGGGGATTACAGGCCATTTCCCCCCAAACCCTGCCAGGTAACCAACAGCTTCCAGAACCTTTGGAAGTCTCCCCAGAGCCGGGGTACCTCAGAACCCTGCCAGGCGGTGCAACGCAGCGCGCACCAGCTGCAACCTTATGCGAGCAGCCCACCTGGATGCCCAGGCTGCCGCAATGCAGAGGTGTCTTCAGGCCCCATTTGGGGCGCCATGCACAAGGGTGGAGGGTACAGTGCTGGCCACGCACACCACGAACTCCTAACTCCTCTGTCTGCCAAGAGCACAACATCACGAGTGCTCCTTTCACTCAGACTTCTTGGCCGTTACATTTTGTTTAATTTGCATCTCCCATTTTCACTCTGCTAACCAAAAAACACCAAGCTTTACAATAGTAACTCCAGAGAAGCCAATGACAATTAGAAAGAAAACAATCTCAATTTCATGCTGGTTTTCTGGGGCTTATGCTTTTAGGATTTACACTTCTAAGCTATCAGTAACCCTAGGAGCTACTGACTACATCTCCCACTGGCAGCTTTAGAAAACAAAAAACAATAGCAACAAAAAACAGTAATTGGCTTGGGATCTAATACCACAGACTCCTCTTCCATAGGATTTATAACGGCTGTAATTGGAAGGTCACCTTTGAAGGCTGTTGGGGGGAGTTCAGGAAGGCACATGGAGGAACCACCACAGCAGAGAGAGCACCGTGTGATCTGCCAAAGTGAGGAAGGGTTCAGGGCAAACAGCGAGCAACCTGCAACCATTAGTCTCTGAGACGGGTGGGAAAAGAGGCTGGCAGGACCAGGGGAGCCAGAAATGCACATGTAGGGGGGGCCTCTCCAGAACACCAGGCTGGTCGTTACACTAAATTATCTCCTACATCTTTATTAGTGTTCTGTAATTCACACAAATCTGGTGGTAGTTCTAAGAATATGAAAGAAAGAAACTAAGAACTAGTTAGATTCTGATGAAATTAAATGAGTTAAAATGGTTTGTTGGACTTGAAATACAGCATTGCACTTGGAACCTTTAGCAGTAAAAAGACTTATATTTCAAGGCAAAATTGCTACATGCTTAAAAAAGAACAAAAGCTTTTTCTTGGTATAAGTGGTTGCTTAGTTCTTTTTTCTCTCCAATGTTAATTCAAAGTGAACTAAAATGTGCACTGTTTATTAAGAAGATGTACCAACCAAAGCTTGTAAATTAGCACCTGAACTTCTGCATTTTTATGCTTAATAGATGAGGACAGAGCTAACAAATACCCTAACATACAAAGATAAAAACGATGGCAGCTCTGCTTTTCTGCAGTGCCAAAACACTGATGTGAGAGAAGCAGAAGCAGCTCCCGAGTGTTTAGCTAAGTTTCAAGCAGCAAGAAAAACGAGTTTTACTTTTATCCACTTGGCCAAACTGCATAGTTCACATCCTGCTGCCAAAGTCAGTTTTGGGAAACTGTCAACATCCCTCCTGTCTACAAGACACAAATTGCTTTTGTCCGTCAACAAATATTATTCCACCACCTGTGCTGGCTAATTAACAATGAAATGCTCCTTCTCCTCCTCCTTTCCTTGTGTGTTCCCTCCTGTCTATGTTTCCCTCCTGTTTTTCCCACAGTAGTGGGTGTTGGGTTGAATGTAGCTAGAGCTGTGGACACTATTTGAACTGACAGCACCAGACAAGATGGTCCTAACACTGCTGACCCATCTACTGGATGCACAGAAAGTCTCTTAAAAATTCTCATCTAGAGCCTACCTACTTGCCTTATTTGAAATAGTAAGAGTTTCTGAAAGGGGATAAACGGATGTTTTCTGAAAATGTGCTCACAAATGGGAAAATGATAATTAAAGGCTGAACATGATAAGATATGAAGCTAGCTCAGCAGCACTAAAACAAATATTTTATTTCAGCTTTACTTGGGGAAATTTAAAAAAGAAGAGTATTGTGAGATGATTGAAACTTAGGCAAGTGATTCAGATTTGTCCAAAAAATGCAAAATGTGGTTCTCAAGCTAGGGAGAATTGAGTTGCTTTTAATGCCTTCCTCCTAGGTGGTTTTTATAGAGGGACAAATTTAATTCCCATCTGCTCATCAGGAAGAAAAGAAATACCAGGTTTTCCTAGGGAGCACTATAGCTATTGTGGTGAACCTTTAAAATAAAAGCAAAGCAAAGATTTGGGGCCAAAACCAGACCGAGACCATGCGTGTCTCTTTCCCAGCTTTTCACATTATGGGGTATCAGTAAGATAGATGCCAAAACACAGCCCGTGTGTTTCAAATGTTTGGTTTGGCTTTTTGAGAAAAGTTCCCGTTGCTCAGCCAGCCAAACTAAATCCAAACCTATCCCTATTTTACCAAAGCCACTTGGAGAGAATACTTTAGTTGAAACAAGGTTGACTGAGTTGAGTATAAAGATGCAAGGCTGAACAAATGAACCAGGGATTCGAAGAAAAGCAGGTTAAAATGCTACCTCCTTTCTAACAATCCTTCCTTTCTCCCTGAGGAGGCAACAAGTATGAAAGAGTCACAGATGAGGCCAGTAGAACCGAAAGTGCAGAGCACTGGGAAGCAATTGTTAAACTGGAGCACGTGCAGTGGGAATCATTGTGCGCCAGGAGAAAACGCAAAGCGTGAGTAAGGAGCACGATGCATCTGCAGCAAGCCAGGAGAACAAGAACAGCCACCAAGCCAAGAAGGAACATGATACAACTCAACCTGGCTCTGAGCCTTCTTTGTTGGAGGAACATAAAGGCTACAGAGAGTGCGCAGCGCTGACACCAGTCAGGACCCGTGGAGGCAAGATGATGTGATAGCTAGCAGCCCTTGTTCTCCATGTCACCACAAGTGATCCTGGGGTCTGTCAGAAAATGAAAGCAGTTTTGTTTAAAACAGAGGGCATGTCTTCTTTCAGCAAGAAGACTGCATGCTCTTGCAGTGAGTTTTGCTACATTCAGAGTGGCAATACAGTGGAAGGAAGAAAGAACGTTTTGCTAAAGTTGCATGAGAAATAGTATTGGTGAAATACAGAAAAGTTACCTAAAGCCTAGTATCAGTAAGCCTCAATGTAAGAGTTGCTAAGTTGCAAAAAAGAGAGGAAACAGCAGTGACTCCTCACAGAAAAAAAAGAAAATAAAAAAGAGAAGTATGGTCAGAGAAACTCTCTCAGCCGAAGAGAGCAGATCTTTAGGTTAGGTTTCTGCTGGCACAAGGGTACAAGGCAGACGTGGGTTCACACACAAGCTCATACATTGCATACACTGCAGGCTCCAGACTTGGCCCCTGTTCAGAACCACGACCACCATGCAGCTTGCAGCAGCTCTGTGTTCAAAAAGCTGTGGTGATAGAAGACAGGTTGTCAAATCTGGTGTGTTATTAGCACGGAACGAAGCCTGCAATGTAAGCTAGTCACAAATCAAGCAGTATGTAGATGACTAATGGCATCTGATTGCATATTAAGTTATAGCTCGAGATACTCTTCAGAATTCTTTCAGGCCCCTAAATCACAAAAGCAAAGTGGATTATCCAAAAGCCTGAGATTAACAGGATATGCAGTGCTTATCCTTTTCCTAATCTTTCCTTACTCCACCTGAACACACACTTTATCTTTGCACACCACCGCTATGGAGCGCAAGACGCTGCCTGTGACGCCGAACGCGAAGAAGCCGAGCCCCACTAGGCGGGTCGTGGTTCCCACGCACAGGCCCAAGCTGTGCAGAGCGTGCTGAAGGAACTGCTGGGTGCAAGGCAGGAGGAGCAGTTCTGAAGCTCCCCTATTATTCAGGATTTCTTCTGTGCTAAGCATATGGCTGGAAGCCTGCAAGTGGGTAACATATGTCACAAAATATCTCAAGCGATCTCACGTCGCAGAAACTGTGCTCTGCACATCCACAAACACCAAACATTGTATCCATCAAATTATCTATCTGCTCCATCACTTTTGCCAACAGGAAGTTGTGTGGATTGCTACTTGTTCCACCAAAAAAAAACATTTTTTTCTCTTGGTTTAGGTAGAGCTGGAGATTTCAGGGCTTTGAAGTCCAGACTGAGTGCTGTCCTAAAAGGGTTGAATGCAAAAAGGTTTACAAGAACTCCTAACTCTCTTCCCTTTTCAGATTAACCTATTTTCAAACACACACCTGTGAAAAAGAGCATTTCAGTTCATAACCCTCCAGCCTGCACTCAAGCTGCTGATGTTCACACAGTAAAAACTGCTATAACCAAAGTTATCCTATAAAGAATATTTTCTCTACAAAGTCTACTAGATCTGAGTAGGAAATCTAAGTTTAATTTTCAATTGCCAACAACAAACATAGAACACAGCAGGGCATTTAATGTCTAGGAACTGTTCTCCCTCAAAAGGCCAAGACACTTTAAGCTGGAAAAACACTTCGCCTTCAATCTATGCATCATATATTTTTTTAAAAACACAGTAGATACGTCCTTGAAACATTTTAAGACACCCGCACACGCAATCTTGTTTGTTATCACAGTGGCTCATTAGCTGGAGGGGAAATGCATCCTGCCCTTCCCTTATAATGATACGTTTTTTCCCACATCTATTCCAGGCCAGCAGATGTTCACATGTCCACTAAAGCTCCAGGTGCGAGGGCTGTATCTGCGAGTTGCCTCCCCCTGTACAGGACTGCAAGTCAGGCCGGGAAAGGCTGCTGCTGAACTAACCCGTGTGAAACTCTGCGGCCAGCGAGCAGCTCGGCAGCTACCACCTCCGAGCACGGGTCAAAGTGATGAGAGAGCAAATCACAGAATGGAACCTTGTTCTTTTCTTTAAAAAAAAAAAAACTTTTATTCAAAAAAAAAAAAGTTAATGAAACCTCAGATTCAGTAATGAAGTACTGACTTCACATTTTACATTGAAAATATTACAAAATAACCATCCAGTGACTATTACAGCATTTGCCAATGGTTGGGACTCGGGTCATTTATCACTCATTTTCATCCACCATCCACCGTGATCAAAAAATCAATTTTTTGGGTAAACCTGAAAAGTGTAAGATACATCATTATCAAAGCAAAGAGATTCAGTCCCTTCTTCCAGACTTTACCATTCATTTGGTGCTAACTCCTTACAGTACTAAACACTTTTTAACCCATGTACTCTGAGCCAGGCAATGCTGTCTGCTGCAGTAGCTCACAATGTCTGTTTCCAAAAAAAACTCTGAGAAAGTACTAGCAACAAAGCTCACTTGCATTAGTGTATGGACTCCATATGTGTCTCAGATTTTAACACCTTTAAATGCTAACTGTGTTTGGCGTATCTGTAAATACTTCCTGTGAAAAGCTAGCAACTTCATTCTGCTTGTACACATCAGAAGTAATTTAAGGCTTATCCTCACCCTCCCAACCACACCCCCCCAGCATACACACACTCTCGGTGATCTTTATTAAATGCTGTCATTGCCCAGCAATATGCTGCCTGCAAGAATAACAGCCTTTATCATCTCTGCATCATTCTTTAACCCTATTTTTTTTTTTAGTATCAGCTGTAGAGATGATCAGCACAGCAGCATTTTTCTAGTTTTATTCCACTTCAGCACCTCGTTTCTCCATTATGCTATTTATAATGTAGGCAGAACTAAACATATTTGCCTTGCTTGGATACGAAGATTATTATGGAAATATTCTACTAGTTTTGCCTGCCCTGTTAGCAGAAGCCTCCTCTAAGATACACTGCAGTTGAATCACACCCACACACCTCTAATGAAAGCCCAAACACCACAAGTTCTGGATATGAGTGGTTTTTTTTTTTTCAGACAGACCTGATTCTTTTTCAGGCCAAAGCAGAACAGCCCTGAGACTACATAGATTACCTACCCTGTTTTAACTCATGAAACAGCTTAATATTTTATCTTTTATATTCTGCTGCACTCACTAAAGTCTCCACAGAAATGCAAATTAACAGGATTGGAAATTAGTGTCCTGGGGAAGGAGTGCTGCTTTAAATTAAGTGTTTTCCAGAAGCGGCAAGACAGACAGTGATGTCATCATAGCCTCAACATCCCTGTGTACCTCACTGATGAGAAATAAACGCTAGCAGAAGTTAGAAACACATGCTTAATACTTTGCACAAGCAGCCATCCATCTAGCTAAGTCTTCCCTGACTATAAACACTATTACCTCAGGCTGCTTTTTGCAAGGTGCAGACTCTGCAGATTTAAATGTGTGCAACACACCCCAGAGGCTCCAGGGCTCGATCTTGCTTAAAAGCAGCACTCACAGGGACTGTAAAAATCCTCTCTCCCGGTGGCCAGTCCTTGCTGCCAAGGTTTTACAAGTGGGCACCGGGCAGTAACACTGTGGCCCATCCTGCTAAGCTCGAGTGCTGCTCCACAGAGCTGAGGCAAAGAGAATGGGCTGTGAAGGTTCTCTGACAGCCACAGAATCCCTAGGGGTCAGTTTCTTTTTCTTTGCCCTTTTTCTTTTTTTTTTTTTTTCCCCACATTTCATATCCTTTAGCACTAGAAGAGCTACCTTGGAGACCCTCAGATTCTGCCAGCCTAGCCAAGGAAATCACAGAACATAGTGGGGTTTTTGTTGATGTGCTTGAGTAGCTCTTAAAGAAAATGATACTGATTTTAATGCTGGTGCTCAAAAGTCTCAAGAAGCAATGCTGACTTCCTGCATGCCTAATTTATATCCAAACTCAAAACTCGTGGCATTTCTCACACAAGCAGATTTACCCTTGTTGAAAATGAGACTCTTGGAAAGACGTTCAGCCAATTAGTGTTCCAGTTCCAACACAGGTCTGGAAGCTCTGCTTGTTGTGAAATCCCAAACTTCAAGTGGTAAATCTCACAACTTGGGGAATCTTTTCTTCTTCTTTCTCATGCTCTTGTTAACAAGTGTACTTCAGAGCATGGACTCCAAAATAGTAATCAGACTCTCTCACAGTGATGAGCTAAAGAGCTAAAATTTCTTTCCTAAGCTAGGATAACTTAACAAGCTACCACATCTCAGCTGACTCCCAGTGCCGAGGTCAAACAGCATGAAAATAATCAACTGATTACAACGTTCATCTCAAGAAAAAGTTAGCTATTGAGCTAATGTCTTCTGCTGGCCATTTGAGACAGACTAATAAAGGTCAAGGTGATGGAAACAGCAGGTTAAATGCACATATTTTTGCTGTCGCTCTGAGGTGGAGCAGAAATGCATTTTCACAGAGGCATCTACATTGCAGAGCCTGTCACTCCAGGATCCAAGGACAGGCTCACACTGGCAGTATGGGGAAGCTGATGCTCACCTGGCAGCTGCCACCTGGTGTATCCCTGCAGCCAGGGCAACCAACCCCAGCCTTCAGAGTCACTGGTCGCCTCTCCACTAGAGAGTATGACTAATTTAATGATTCCTACAGGCCTTAAGCCCTCAGGATCTTTTCTTACCATGACGATATGGAACATGTGCTACCATTTAGGAAAGTTCCATATAGCAGTAAAAGTTAGGGAATAGGCTTCCTTTTTAAAAAACCAAACAAATAACTATGTCTAATTATAGAGCTGCCTAAACAGTTAGCTTGCTCAATCTAAGACAGCAGGATTCTCACTGCTAAAGTTTACTTACATTCTCTAGTCCTTCATTCAACAGAATTACATCTCTCCCTTTATGATGTAAACTTAAGCTATTTTCTTCTCAGATCTCTCATAGAAAAATTGGAAGGACTTAATAACAGCTTGTAACTCACTCTGTACTATCACACTCCATTAGAGATTAATTAAGAGAGATTAGATACTTCTCTTAACAGTTTCCTAAGCTTTATAAAAGTGTCTTTTTCTTTTATACCAAATGTGTTAAATCTGTCTGACATAACTTTTTCAAGTCATTCTCAGCCTATAATATTTATCCTAAATTTTTAAATCATTAAAGAGTTTCTACTGGTGCTGTGGCCCAGGAATGCAATTAATTCACACAGCTTTTTTTTCTCCTGAAACACTGGAAATATCACATTCCTACTGAGTTTGTAGCTACTACTTTAAATCAAGTGAAACATAAAGATGTTACCTTGATCTATTCCTTCTGTTCTCTTTCTTTTTAAATTTAAAAGTGCAGTTTGTTGCTCCTTTACAGCTTCTGCAGGGCAGTTGGGTCTGGGAAGCTGACTTCCTGGAGTGGGTCCTGGTCGATTACTAAAGTACTTCTGCTTCAATGCCTTCATGATAATGGAAGAAAAATAATCAAGTAATTAGTAAAAAGCATCAGAACACCATATATTAAAAAGTTAACATGACAAAAAGCCTTTTTAGTGACTTCAAAACTACTTAGGTACTTTGGTATCTGCAGAAAGCCTTGTGGCAATTCCAAGTTTCACCGTTGCCACAGCCCTTGGCCCAAACTGGAAGCCAAGAGATACTTGTGCACAGTTATCTTTATCTAACCAGGGCTCTGACACTGCAACAAAGCTCTAGACAAACAGTCCCTTTCCCACTCTGAAGAACTTGTATTCTGAATGGAAAGGCAGAAGGCAAACAAGTAGGCAGGGTTGATTTCCTTAAGTGGAATTACACATGCTATTTTTAATTTTAGCAATTCCACAGCTTCCATAAACCATAGTTAAGGAAAATAAGCTAAGTAGTCCCCGAGGAAATCAATGCTCTGGCTTACGCCAGTTACATCATGTTCAATGGCAGCTATAAATCAAGCCAATACATTGAAGTGCAAGTTCTTTCTTGTCTTCAACTATGGCATTATCAATAAAAACATTAGGCTAATCTTGCCTATTCAATATTCAAGTCATCACCCTACAATATGGCCTTTAAAATGACTTCGTACGTAAGAACTAGCATAGAAGGCATCTCAATGCATGCCAAAACTAATTACTTGGGTACTTACATTGAAAGCTCTTTCCAGGAAACCCTGAAAGTATTCTAAAAAATTATTTTAGCGAAAAGATACCTAATGCTAATCCTTAGGACTGAAACCTACCTTGTCTAACAAGCAGTGAGGGAGCATTGCCCTTAATGCAGTATCTCTGCTTTTTTGCATGCTTCTGTAACAGTGGGAGATGACAGAACTATAGCTCTGAAACAGTCAATTGCTGCATCTTCCTCACAGCAGCAAAGCACATTCTGAACTAGGACTGAAACATTCTGCAAGATTTTTAGTTCAGAGTCTTTCATTTCTCCCCACAACAAATAAAAAAGTTGTAACCAGTTTTATGTGAGTATAATAGAAATGCATATTGAGGAAGCCTGGCTCCAATCACCACCTTTTTTTTTTTTTTTTTTTTTAAAAATGGGGATTAAAATTTTTTTTAAATAGCTTTCAGATTTCTTAAAAGGAGTCAACTCAGGCTGACTATTCCCAAAAGCTGTTTCAATTATTTAAGCCTTATTTTACCAGTTTTATGTGAGTATAATAGAAATGCATATTGAGGAAGCCTGGCTCCAATCACCACCTTTTTTTTTTTTTTTTTTTGTAAAAATGGGGATTAAAAAAACTCTAAAAGGGGATCACAAAATCTTAAAAACAGGGAATAAGATATGATAGGTTAAGTTTTAAGCAGTCAGAAAAGCATGACTCTTTAGTTTGATTTTTTAGTTTCCTACCCTTGGACTACACGAGGAAGGGAGATTTTTGGTCATGCCTTTCAGAGTTCTCTCTGAAACACCCAAAATACTGCTAGTATTTTGTAGACAGGGCCAGCTTATTTCTAAGTTGGCTTTCTAGCTTCAAAACACGTTCACCTGATATCAAGCATTAGGTTAGTGAATATTAGGATGTAACACAAGTCTACTATACCTGAGTAGCTGTAACCCTTGCACAAGGATTAAATGTGAACAAGCCTTGCAGGAGATCAAGCAAATCATCACCAGCTGCACTGAAGATATGCTGAAGCGGCATTCCAGGAAAGGACTTAAATGTGACATAATCTGGAAGACTAGTCATTCCCTACAGAGACAAAAGTGGGATGTATGTTTTTCACATAAAAAAAAAAAGAGAGTTTTTCACAGAAGTCACTTTGCGTGGCTATTTTCACAGCAGAAGGAAAGCATGTTGTAAATCACCCTGCTAATGCTTGGTCACTGTAAACAACCAGGAATAACAAGTCATAAGGACATTGCTGTAATTGCTACAGTTGTATTACACTTCTCTTAGTGTAATACAACTGCCCTTCCCTTGCTTCCCTTGTGAGCGATACATAAGGAAAACTACTAATAAAGAAAGAAAGTATGAAATAACTTTAGAGTGGGTGTGAACAAATGAACAGACGTTAGCTTTAGCTTTTCTCTTGCTATCTCCTGTGGTAGAAGGCAGACAAAACTCACACAAAAGCCCATTCGCATTTTCACCAAGTTAATCATATGCCCTCCTCCTCCTCAAAATTAACATCAGTGTTTTCAGCTACTTTTAAAACCTAGAACTGCTGAACTTGCTTTTGATGACGGGAGGAAGGACGTGGTGAGAATGGAAAACATGCCAAGCAGATGAATCACATACTACCCCTCTCCCTGCTTAGTTGTCAGGTTAACCCCTTTGTCTTCTTTCTGTCTGCATGTCTCTGCCCGAACATGAATGTGTGTTTTATACTGCAGTCACCACAATTCAGTCATGACTACAAGCAAACTAAAATATCAATTAGGTAAAAAATGTATTTTTAAAAAATAAAGGTTTCGTTTTCTGAAATGAATGGATTCGTATGTTAGCCTTAGAATCCATCATCCTTACTGTGATAGCATCCTCTTCTCTCACCTATACCTTGTCCTATCCTTTCCCCAAAAGCTGGAGAAGTCTAAAACAAATCAAACTTCACTCATGTATTTCATCTAGAATCCTGGAACAACAACACAGAATTGTTTTTGTGTTGAAAATTATTAAAACTTGTCATGTTAAAGCAGATAAGTTGATCAAGCATGTCAAGAACATCAAGCAACCACTACTACTTCACACAATTAGCCATGAGAAACCACAGAAACACACAGAAGGGACACCAAGAAGTTTTGTTATTGTTACCCAACTAATAACACTGCCATATTGACCACAGATATGCTAGAGAAACTATAAATTTCAGCTGTTTGTCCTCTATTTTGTGACATCAGGCATATGCTGCTTTCTGATAATTTACTCAAAATTTAAAAAGGTAAAACAGACAATTCCCAAGTAAAGCTAATATTAATCTGTTAAACTAAGGGACTCACAGGCCACTGTTCTTCAGTTGGAGTGCCCAGAGTTTCAAATATCCGTGTCAGCTGGTCAAGATCAGAGTCTCCTGGCAAAAACGGAACCTGGAAGAGGCAACAGTATTTCTGATTGAATTAACTTCTGCAGTTCAGTTCTGGACACCAACTTTGAATTCCTGCTCATAACTTATTATAAGCAAAACATCTTTGTATACACGTTCCCACTAAGAGGTCCACTGAATGTTTGGTGCTTGGTACTAATGGCATATATATTCTGCAGGCTTCTTGCAACCAGCCTTGATATCACTGACTTGACAGAGCTAAATATAAGATTAAATTACCACAGAGTTAATGTAAAATGACTGAACATGATAGAGGAAAGAGTTTAAGCTCTGTCAGTCACAATGCTCCTTCAAAAATGTACAACCTGGAGTTAGGTTTATATTTGAAACACTGAAACGTGACTGGATTGGATTGATGGGATGAGATGACAACATAAGGCAGGGTATCGACTCGTTACGTGAGAAACTGCGTAACCAGGGCCATGCCTGGTTAAATTAGATGACAGAAAAAGGGGCTATTTGTGCAGTTTAAGTTGCAGCTTGCGCACCAGGCACACAGCGCAAAATGAAGGAGACTTTGAAAAGAAGAGGTATTGGGAACACTTAGAGGCAGTATTTAACATATTACCCTTGGAAGAGTATAATCAACATCCCTAACAGGCACAGGATTAGATTGGGATACAATGAAAGTCATTTGAACATCAAATGCTTTGTAAAGCTGCCTGATGAGGTTGTGCAGTGTAGCACATTTTCTGCTTTCTAAGAAACTGAATAATTCTAAAGAATGTTGCTTTTTCTCATTTGTTTTCTTGACTTCCATTGAGCCTACCCACTCAGCTTTGGAAGGTCTAATGCCATGCTTGCATACACATTACTAGCACTACTTAGACAGCCCCTGTACATTTCTGTTTTGGAACTGTATGTATGAGCACTGCATTTGTGTGATAAATTGTGTGGTGGTGTTCTCCACCATTCCCCACTCATATTTTCCTCTCTCCAAAGAGCCATGTAACAAATGGCCTAGGTCAGTAAAACATACCTAAAGACTATTACATCTTGCTCACCTTACTTGGATGACACTGCAGGGGAGGCTCACTGTTGGCCTTCAGCTTTACTCCAGCACTACCTGGGCACATCGCTCACTCGTTGCAACCACCCATGGTTCAGGTGTGGGTGATGATTGCTCCCAGTTATCAGGATCAAAGCAGGACTTTAACAGCTTGTTGCACCCCTGTTATTCCTAAAGACTGACTGCAACAGTGGAGGAACTCAGTCTACTCCAAAGCTTCCTTTTCCTTACAGTTAGCACACAGGAAAATTTCCCCCCTCTTCCTTTCCTAGGAAGCAGCCTAACTTGCTTTTGCTGTTACTGAAGAGCACATATTACCCTGAAGAAGAGCAAAGAAAAGTGTTTGCATTTAAATACTTACCCGAAGGAGTAATTCAGCTAAAATGCAACCAACAGCCCACATATCAACACCTACACCGTACATTCTAGCACCAAACAAAAGTTCTGGGGCTCGGTACCACCTGAAACAAGAAGTCATCTTAGGAAAAATGACATTTTTACTGATGTCAAGTGCAGTATGTTGTGGCCAAGCCAGAACTACAAAACAGACACCACTCCTGGCCTGTCTATTTTTCAGACACCGAGACTAAAAATCCATATTCTACCCTGTAAAGTCTTTAAAGACAGATGAAATGGCATTGTGCTTTCTTCACCAAAGCATCGAGTTTAACCACAAATCAACTACATTTTCAGCTGAGCCAATTATCTAGTAACTGCAAATGTGCAAAGGTACCTAAAGGTTGAGATTGGTTTTGTGCAAAAATGAATCTGGACTACAGTTATTTAAATCAACTACTTCCACTGCCTAAGAGTAACAAAGATCTGATGCAGTGTTTCATTTCCACTCTTTTGGATAAAGGCACAAAAATACCTCAACTTTTAATAGCGTTAACGTTAGAGCAGACAAACAGATCTCTCTTGCATATTTTATATTCTTCTGCTTTTTAGAAGATGGTCCTTAAACAAACATGCCATAAATGACATTAATAAAATATTTTAATGAGCTCAAGTAAATAACGTACAAACAAGATGCTAGCCTCATGATTAACAAACAGTGAGCGCTGCCTTGCTCTGAAAGTTAGGCTTATAGGCAGTTATACACTATTTCCATGTTTGGAGACAGAACCATTCCATACAACAGCCCCATACATACATATAATATCTATATATAAAAAAAGTTTGTTCTTATCACTCTGCCAAACTGTGCTTTCCTGTGCTATCACTTAGGAGGCTCTGGCCAACACAACGTTGCCACATGAGTTAGATATCAAAATAGTACAATTTAACAAGATATGTTTCAAGGGGCAATACAAAACAGCTACACAAACCCCACCGAGGAAACAAAGTAGGATATTTACCTTGTTACTACTTGGTGCGTATAGACTCTATTTGGACTTCCAAATGACTTGGCCAAGCCAAAGTCGGCCAATTTTAAAACTCCATTTTCATCTAACAGCAAATTATTGGGTTTTAAATCCTGCCAGTATAGAAAGCAAAGAATTAAATACTTTACTATTAATAAAAACAGATAAATAATGACACCCTAGCAAGTTTATAGCAACAGTATCCCAAAGACAGGCTTCTGATTCCACCATAAATTGCCATCTGGGGAATGGATGTGAGGGAGTGGGAGAAACACAAGTATTTTCACATATCTTAAAAATCAGTTGGGCACCTCCACCTGAATATTTCAATATTTAAACTGTTCTTTATTAGTGCATAGTTGCCAAATGAATAATAAAAAGATCTTGATATTTTTCAAATAACTGTAGTACATATCAAGGAACTCATACAATAACAATACTAATCAAAGTCATCTAATTTTAGATTCTTTATACAAATATATGTCTAAATGATAATCCATTATATATGTCCAAATGATAATCAATAACTGTAAAAAGTTCCTTGCATTCCTACCATCTCTCCACAACAGCGAGGACTAGAGCTTACAGACTTAACACGTAGGAGCTTCAAAACAGAATTTGAGTATAAAAATCTAACACAGCTGTTTGGATGCCACAACTGAGAGCCCTTATGCCTGCAACAAAATTCAGTGCAAACTTACCCTGTGTAGAATCCAGTGCTGATGTAAATATTCTAATCCTTGAAGCGTCATCAGCATATATGCTTTGATGTGAGACTGTGTCAACACAATACTAGTATCCTTAATAATAACCTGTAAAGTATTAGATTAATAATAAAGCTTTATGTGCAAAATCATCTTATCCAACTTCTTTTAGCTGAAGTTGTTTTATCCTTGAAGCCACAGTTTGAATTGGAAACCACATATTCTCTACTCCCACCATCTCTCCAGAAAAATCATCTGTTCTGAAGATTAGAAAATGAACTGGGGAATTCAAATAGCCTATGTGAACCTCATGTAGCAGAGTCAAGAAAATGGGAGAGCAACAACAGCTTTTCATTACAGCTCAGTTTTAGGACAAGCCCATACACTTAAAAAGGACTTTTTTTTTTAATTTACTATCAAATTTATATTCCCACTTCTTCCTTCTTGCCCTACATAACGTAAGCATCTAATCTCTGCAAATACAATGGTTACCTCTTCTTCAGGTTGTCTTTGAACAGTAGTAGCCCTTGCTACTGTATCTTAATAAAGCTGTCTGAATTGTCAACATTCTTTGATTTTGACATTAAAATTCTATGCCTATATCCTATTTTAAAATATTCCATACACTACTCCAAGACTTTTGTTAATACTTTCTTGCAGTTGCATAGTAGCTTTTCCCAAGCTTTAAGTTATTTGAGATTTACAAAAAAAAACAGCTATTTGAGACTACACAAAGAGCTTCATGTATGCTGCCAGTCACAACAGGCTGTGTCCCCAAACGGCAGCCTTTGAGTGACACCACACTGAAAATAAGTGCTCTGCATAACACAGCACTAGGTAGCACAAAGCACTTCACTCCTCTTTGTAACTGTGTTTTTCCTTAGTTCTAAATGTTGCATAGTTACTAATCATGCAGAATCAATCCTTTCACTAGTACACTAAGTACTGGAGCTTTTCTTAGCAGAAACTTGCTTTGTGGTCTAACCTTTTCAGGCTCAGATTCAGGCCTTCCTCTCGTTTCAGTGACCCTGTCCATGTTTAACAATAACCCCCCATGCTTAATGTCTTATGTGTAATGAGTTAGTGAAACAGCTACTTTTCTTTCAGGCCAGAGTATGGATAATAAAGCAAAGATAGAGATCTGACATGAAATACTACCTAGGAAAGTCTTTCGGAATAAAAAACCTTCTATCAAAATATCCAATAAAAAGATTTTTACAAATGCAAACTATCTTAACATCACAAAAACTCAGTCATTTGAATATATACTGCTGTTATATTTAGTAGAATATATCATTTGTGTGATTTTAGTATCAGTTCACCACTCAGTACGCTTGAATATCACATTAGCATGAAAATGTTTTGTGCTAGTATGCTTAAAAATTGCACCTTCAGCCAACTTAGATAGTGAAAGACTTCTAATACAAGCTTGCCAAAGAAAGATGCCTCAACTCTTTCCAAAAAAGCATCTGAAGACACTGAAATAACAGACATCTTGAAAGATTTGAGAGATGCGATCTTACCTCTAGATCTGTTTCCATAAAATCAAACACCAAGCTAATATTTGATTTGTGTCCAAATGCATCTAGAAGCTGGAAAACAACATAAATCGTGATGGACCATATACTCCAGTACTTCCAGTTTTCTAAGAGTCTGCACCATTTTAATCTGCATGTCGATTTTCAGGTTGCTGGGGTGGGTGAGGGAACAGGAACAGGGCCGGGGACTCAACCTCCTGCTGGACAGAACTGATAACCAGTTCAGCATTTCAACACTGGAACCCAGTACCTTAATTTTGTCTGAAGTTAATTTTTCTTTCACATAACCCTTGAGAAATTATATTGTTTCAGATTCTCAATTTGCAATTGTAAAATGGTATTACCATAACTGCTGCGATCTTTAGAGACTGAATTGAGCTAAACTGAGTAAAAATTTTCACATTGCATCTTCTTCCATTGGGGATTTTTTAAAAACCTGACGTTGGAAGCTTTTTACAGCAGGAATCACTTTACCATACGAACTACAACACCTAATATTCTAATGCACACCTGCTTCCACAACTGCCTCGGCAATAAATTTGAGAAGTTTACTACATAAAATCCTTTAACCTTTCTTAATGATTAGCCTTTTCTAATGATTAACCCTTATTTCCAGCATTGTGTTATTTTGTAAATAACACTTCTAAACTTACCTTACCCATCACCTCAGTTTTGTAGACCTCCCCACTGTCCACAGCCTTGTAGACTGCATGAACAGCACGCATGAACAGAAGCTGCATGAACAGTATGCAAGGACCAATTCTAGAAGTAGCATTCATTTTACTTACACCAATAATATTTGGATGGCTTAGCTCCTGTAACAACTTTATCTCTCTGAGGGCTGTTCTGTTGATACCTACATTGATGACAGAGATGGAACAAAAATTTAAAACTTTGTATTAACTTCAACCAAGAAACCATTTATTCTGTGACTTGCTATTAAAATCTGTTTCATCTCTGCTCAAAAGGTGATTTCAGCCTGTGACTTGACAAACCCATTCCTGCAGGGGATGTTTACTTTTTCCACAGCAAGTAGATTCTACACCACAGTAATCAGAAGATTTACATTATGAAGCTACATATGCCCCCTTTCGGCAACAGTGGGAAGTTTTTCACACAAGTTTAGAAAAACTGTGTTTCAGTTTCATGCTATATTTTCAGGTTTTAGTTTTGTTTTAAAAGTGCAACTTACAAATAGCAGTTTTCCTGTGGAATGTTGCCCAAGAAGAGTTTCAGCTGTACGCGAGCTGAACAACAAGAGACTTGCTGTCGTACGCTCTGCAACTCGCATGACAGGTCAGACTGTTGCAGACTGTGGGGCAAAGCTGTGTGTGTTACTCTACACTCCTGCTTTTCCTGTTCTGCTCGTGCCCATTTGATAACCAAGCAGACACGTGCATTCCCAAGTAACACAGGGAGACCAAACACGGTCCAGGCTGCTGTTTCTAAGATCATCCTTGAGCTGCAGCTGAATATCCTGCAGGCCAGGGGTGACACCCGCTCCAGAGGACATCGGTCCACTGCAGACCAGCTGCATCGTGGCTCTTGGCCCATCTGGGAGAGTCTGGGATGGGCACTCAGATTCCCTTTAGGGATTCTTCCGCAAGGATGGAACGGAAGAGCCAAGAGCCTTTCTCTGGAAAGCAGAAGCCTGATGCAGGATCCCTGAACAGCAAGACCCTGGGCACATACAAAATTCTGTCCATGCAGTGACACAGAATAGTGACCAACAACAGTGGCTTTTACTTACTATATCCTTGACTAAAAGTACAGGGGTTGCCAGAACACACGATCAGAAAGAAACTGCTCTATGGACTTGATTTTGCCCGTGTATGAATAATTATTTTGCACTACTCTACATCTCTACATTTTATTCATGTTTGTATTTCTCTTAAATTGAGAAGTCAGCCTGTCAAGCCTTCACATTTAGACATATATTATGTATGCAGATTAAAAAAAAAAAAAAAAAAAAAAAAGAAGAAAGGCAGCAGCATTAAATCCCTCCAGGTTGGCAAGCAAACCATGATTACAGTATTGTGGGGAAAAAAATGAATTAAGCCTAAGGCTAAAAGTATTGAGCTCATTTTACCTCAGCTAAGATACGGTACAAAAAATAAACCCACAAATTTATAGAAACAAAGCAAACAAGAAACAAGTTAGGGAGTATTATTTTGTTAAAAAACTTACCATCTTTAGCTTCTGACCTGTGTCCAAGTTTAATCTGAAAAGAAGCGAGATTCGTATTATTGCTGAGCCCCAGCTGCGGCTGAACGCTTCCCTGCGGAGAAGCGCTCCTCCGCGCCCTGACGCGGGTCCCGCTCTCCCGGGCTGTGCTGGGGCAGCCGCGGGCCCGGGGCCCTTTGCCCGTGGTTTCCCCACCCCCAGCTCCGAGCAGCTCCCGCGGAAACAGCACGGGGGGATTGAAAGAAATAGGGGATGGCAAGAGGAAGGCGAAGGAAAAAGAAACACAGAGCGAGGAGTCTCAGGCCCGCGGTTGGGACGCGCCTGTGTCTGCCGGGACTCGGGGCTGCCGGCCCCGCGCGGCACCGGCGGCGAGCTGCGGCGCTGCGGGCAGCCGCCCGGCGCCTTCAACCCGCTGCAAGGCCCCGCCGCGGCGGCCCACACCGGGGCCGCGCCGCTCTCACCTTCTTGATGGCCACGATGCGCTCCTGGCTCTTGTCCCGCGCCTTGTACACGGTGGCGAACTAGGGGAGACAAGGGAGGCCCGTGGCGGCGGCGGCGCGCGCGGCCGGTGCCCCCGGG